TTTTTTTTTTTTTTTTTTTTTTTGTGAGGCTGTGGCTGATTCAGCCATTAATGATTAGGGTAGAATCGAGAACAGCTGTTGTCTAACTAACCCGAGTCAACAACTCAGCTGCTGACTCGGTTTTTTCTTTTCTATTCCGCTGAAACCATCACCGCGTCGGTGTCGAACCAAGTCTTCACATCCGCCGCCGTTAAATTCTCTATCGGGAACTTCATGTTTCTCACGTCACCGACCCTTATTTTCCCTGCGTCTTCCTCTCTAATATACACCTTTTCGACGCCGGCAAATTTGACCCCCAAGATCTTACCGGCCACCGGCTTCCATTCGGCGATGAGTGCCGGGATTTTAGAACCCACGCGCGTGTCCCACAAATCCACCGATGTTGTACCGGAAACATTCGCCGCCGCTGATAACAGTAACGTCGACGTTAATGACGAGGCTATCTGCGATTCGCCGGCTAGAATGGACCCGATTTGCTGCTCTTTAATTACATCGTAGATGCGGATTTCATTCGTGTCGGAGTGATGGCGGTCGAATTCAAATCTGAGATTGTCCCATAATTTCACAACGCTTCCACCTCCGCTGACATCGGCCCACGAGAAATGGTTGCCATCTCCGCCTTGGTTGTGGAAGCTCCGCCGATGCCGAAGTTTCAGAGTCGGTTTCATTTTAAGATCGTTCAAGTAATAATCGGAGCCTCTAACGCCAAAATCCCGGTCAGTCAAGTCCAAACATCGGGAAGACGAGGAGGCGGGCTCATCGGCGTCGTCTTCTTCAAACTCCGACCAAGACGACGAAATAGAGCTCGCAGAGTCGTCGATAGAGAACTCACCATCGGAGTCGGAATCAGCAAAAGTCTCCTGGAAAACACGTTGTTTCCGTCGGAAAATCACAAACAAAAGCTTAATCCGATTGATTACGCCGCTAAACGTAGCAACAACAGCGATAATCACAGCGCTCCATTTCCAGAGATTTAGGGATTGAGAAAGGGTTTGGAGTCCAGATGGGGAAGCCAAAATCTGGGGCAAGAGAGTGGGATTCGGCAAGGAACTAATCCCCGATTCCAGGCCACTAAACCTGTTAATCACCGGAATCTCCATATCTCAACCTCGGTAATGGGTAGAACAGAGAGAAGCAACCACAGATTTAAGGAAGCCAAAAACCAAAATCAAGAGATGGGAATATTCGGATGAACAAAATTGAAAGAGTGGAAGGATTTCAATTTAGGGTTTGGTGGAAAATAAAAACGGCGAAGGCGAGAGAGGGTCGGAAATGAAAGAGGGGAGGAGTTTTTAAGGGCGAAAAAGCAGAGGATGAGAGGAAAAAAAAGATATTAAAAAAATAAATAAAAGAGTGACGTGCAAGATAGATATTGGCTGTTTGGGAGTATGAGAGGGATCCACGTCGGCAAAAAAGAGCAGAGAAATAGAAAATATATACTCTTTATTTGTGGAGAATTAAGAATTTTGGAGAGGGCAGCCGCAGGAAGTAATAATTGCGAGAAGGCTCAAAGGGCTTAGGTGGAATAGGATTGAAGGGAATCAAATTTATAATATTCGGTCATCTGGGGAAGATGTTCGCTTGCCTCTTGACACGTGGCAACATCATTGATCCATTGGTTCTTCTCCAGTTCGGAACCCACATTGTCGGATTAGTATGCTGACATGACACTGCTGGCAACATCATCTTTTTATTCGCCATTTTAGAATTTTCGCTAATTAAATATATATTTATATTTTATAAAATCTTATAACTTTATGCAAATTAATTTATCTTTAAATTAAAAAAAAAAAAAAAAAAGAAGATTTGAACCTATGTATTTTTGTATTTTTTAAATGCAAGTCATGGGATGGTCGGAGCAAAATTTGCATCCTTAATTCAATTAAGCTCGTTTTACTCGTGGGTTAAAATTGACCATTATTTTGAATCGAAAGCATGTAAAATGTGATTGTTTCAAGGTCAATGTGCACCCAAAATCTAATTTTGAAAATTTCAATCTCCATTTTCAAACGCCTTTAAGCCATTAATTAATCTACAAAATTAATGGAATAATTAATTAATAAAAGCAATCGTTTTGGTGGGGGTTTGATGAACACATGAGTGTCCCAAAAGATAAGAACATAAAAGTGAAAATTCGTGGTCGTATAAGGTCATATCCCTAATCATTAACACATATAATTATAATATAATACTATTGGTTGGCGTTTGGCGTTTGGCAACCACAAAAATAGTCACATCAGTTTTGTAAAGCTCCCAATTTGTTAAGTGGACCAATAAGCCACGTCCTTAATTCATATCAGTTGGTTTTTGTTTACACGTAAGTCAAATAAGTAGGAAGATATTTAATTTATTTATTTTTATAAACTACAAGTTTAGATAACTCACTTCCTGATTTTTGGGATTAAAATTATGAAATTGGACAAAAAACAGTAGGAGTCACACCTAATTATTTACCTTCTAAGCTAAGATTAAGATTAACATATAAAACAATTTTCCTTGTTTAAAAGAAAGCTCAAAGTTGGCGTATATTCAAAATTAGAATCAACCAAATCCACAAATGGTTTATTCATTCATTTCTTTCCTCCGCAATTGAATGGATCCTTTTGGAATCCACACTACTCTCTTCTAATTTGAATCTCTCAAGGGGACCGCATACACGAAGCTGAAGAGAGAGGACGGTGTGTTGAAGGGGTCATTAACAACTATACTTATGTAACCGTTTAAGACCACAACTAGTAGATATTATCCTCTTTAGGTTTTCTCTTCTAGGCTTCACCTCAACATTTTAAAACCGAGAAGTTTACACACACTCTTATAAGGAATGCTTCGTTCCCTTCTTCTATGGAGAAGAAAAAACTTAAAGAGGATAATATTTGTTAACGGTGAGCTTTGGCTATTACAAATAATAGAGTAGTGTACCAACGAGAATGCTAGACTCTCATGGTGGTAGACTGTGAGATTCTATATCGGTTGGAAAGGAAAACGAAAACATTCCTTATAATAACGGTAAGGAAACCTCTTCCTAATACACATGTTTTAAAACGTTGAGGGAAAGTAAAAGAATGATAACATCTGGTAGCGGTGGGTTTGAAGTGTTACAACTCACTGACTTATGAGATGTAAATTGCCCAAGATGCCTGAGCGTAGAATCTAGCAGTTGATGTGCCTGAGATGCTCCGCTCAACAACAAATTTGTGTTCATCAAGACAACATAATTAATAAGATGCTGAGTAAATTACTTGGGGAAAAATTTATAGAACAAATGGTTCATTAGTTATCAGTGATGACTACAATGGACATCATACTCTAAGAGGTGCAAAGACAATTCTGGTAGGTGATGCATTCCGGGAGCTCAAGCAACTGCATGAGGACAGAGGGCTATACTTTCCAGCAGTACAACAAATATAACAAGCTTTGAATTCTACCATAATTCTTTCACCCTACTTATTTTGAGAATAATGACATAAACTTGCATAACCAGAATTGTTCACAACACCGAAGTGATCCAGCTCATAATGACCAGCTTTGAGCGTACATCTATGAAACCATCCATCCTGTAATAGTTAAGGGATTCAAGCTTTTACATTTTTCAATAAAGAAGAGACATTTGATCCGAAACAAAACAAAAGGCATTACTTCAGGATGATTCCAACAGAAACAGCAATTGCAGTGGAAAAGGATGAGCATCAAAAGAACCAATCCCCTAATTGTAGAAACCGATACAATGATGTAAAAAATTCAGCACTCCACACGAATTCCAAACATTGTGGATATCATCATCTGCATTCTTTTCCTCGAGAGAGGGGACGGGGGGACATAATGCGGGAAGCTCCGCAAGAGTCGACCAAGCACAAGCCGAGGGGGACGCACGAAGATCTTCACACAGAATGCTGAATACACTCTGAAATCAAAAGAAGAAGAGATCCTAGGCGTAACGATGGGGCAGACAACTGATGGAGGCGGAGAGTGTCACAAGGTTCAATGATATTGCCAAATGGGCTGGACTTACATTTTGGGCCTCCTAAACCATCCAAGTTCAAATCCTACTTTGTTACTCCTTTATTTTTATCAAAACCCTAAAAATTTTAAACATTTTTTTTACATTTTAAAATCTCAAAGAGAAAACGAAAAAAAAGCCCAAATATTATGGTAGGCAATCAAAATAGGGTGGAATTAGTCCACGTGTAAAGTTGTTTATCAAAGAAGGTAAGGCCAAAACGCGACGGAACCCATCAACCAAAATATAACATCTATGCATTAAACAACGGCGCTGCACTTTGTTGAACCCAACAAAATAAATAAAATCATTGAATTTGGATCTAAAAACCAAATTTATGCTTAAAAACATTATTCTTTATTCACCAAAACACACAATAATCAAATGAAATTATAATTAATACACAAGAATTAGCGTTCTCACAAATCTACTGGAAATCAATGTGCAATTAATTCTCGATTCCAGAAGATGGAGGTCGGTCGTACGTCGTCTTCCATGGATTAGCATATCAGCGTCGTCGCAGGTTGCTGCTCGCTGCTCTAACTTCTAATGCTCCTCCTCGATTACATTCCGTTGCTTCCTCTGCACAATCAATTCGCACAAGATTCCGATCATAGGAATCATCAATTTCAATTTGATTTTTCGTTTCAGACCGAATATTGAGAGGATTGGTTTGATCAGATTTGCATTTTAAATCCAGAGAAACAAAAATAGGGCGGAATTACCTTTCCGTTTTCTTGGATTTCCGGCACGTCGTAGAGATCGGCAGTGATCTCCGTCAACCATAATCCGGGGAAAAGCGTCTGCAATGGAGAGGGGGAAAGAGTTGAAAATCCAATTTCGGAGAAGATAGAAAAGAGAAAAAACGAAGAAACGGAAGAAGAACCCTACATCCATTTGATTTTGTACAATTCTGGGCCTCTTTTTGGGCCTTCGCGGCGGCCTGCGTTCCATCATAGCCATGAAATCCTCCTCGATCTCCTTTTTGGAAAGTGCTACCGAGAATTTCTCCCTCTCCTTCTCCGTTGCCAGTCGCCGCCCTGGGGACTTCTCGCTACCGCCGTCACCGCTACTCAACGGCGAATTCCGAATCGCCCTTTTCTCCGCCCGCTTTTCGATCTTCAACACTTTACCACCGCCCTTACCTTCGGCAATTGTATCGATCGGAGCCTTCGACGCCGCCCTCCTCACCCTCAAACTCCACGATTTTAACTCCTTCTCCGGCGCCGGAAGTTTTTCCTCCCGGTTGGGCATGTCTTCCTCATCGTCGTTGACCACTCCATCTCTCCAGAATTCAACCTTCATTCTGTCGGCGGCGGTTTTTAGATCAACCATGAGTTTCTCTCTTACCGCCGCTATATCTTCCTCGCCATCGTATTTATCGTGGATCTTGGACTTAGAAGCCCTAAGTCTCTTTGCAGAATCCTTAAATAACGCCGGCCTATCCGTGTGAAAGTTCCGGCAGTTCAACCGGACGGCGGGCGTAGGGCGAACAGGGGGCGGAGGAAGGTCGTCGTCGGCGTCACGGCCATCGGAGTCCAATTTCATACAGCGGAGATACCTCTGATTTCCCCACTTCAAGAAGGAAAGGGAGAAATTATGGAGCGGTTTCGATCTCTCGAGTCCCATCGCCATGGAGTCTAGTGGTGTTTGTTCGGAATCGGCACAAACCATAACCTGGCCGACAGAGAATTGAGAGGCGGAGATCAGATCGGTCCGTCTAAAACAATAATCGGAGAGAAAATAAGGAAAAGTGAGAGAGATTTTTGAGGGTCCATTGGTTGGTGAAATTCTTCATATTAGTTGGGTTTGTGCAAACGAAATACCGCCGGAAAACGCCAGATTATACACAAAAAGAGAGTCCTGGTTTGAGGGGTGCCCTTTTTAATTTTGGTTTCAGGGCTTCGCTTTTATTTTCTTTTTCCCTTTCAAAAAAATTTAATTTTATTTGTTACACGTTTTTTGGTTTCTGTGGATGCTACTAAAATGCGCCCATGCTTCTATCATGCGCCTCCTATTGAAGATTTCAAGGCTCCATATGACGTCGTTTTGCTTTTGGGGCTGCCCCAATTATCTTATTTTAATTAAATCACAGCTTTGACCCTATGTTTTCAATCCTTTTCTATATTTAAAAAAAATAATAATTGTTTTATTTATTTAAATAGTTCCATAAATGATAAATCTACAAAGTCCTTGAGCCTAAACTACCTATTTTAAACTTTTTTTAGTATAAATATTAAACACATATCATCCTTCTTGAAAAACTCCCCCAAACTAATTATATGAAGATGTTCGTGGGCTTTGCAATTCTCAGCCCAAATTACTTATTATTGGTAAGATGTTCGTGGGCTTTGCAATTCTCAGCCCAAATTACCTTATTATAGGAAGATGTTCATGGGCTTTGCAATTTTGAGCTCAAATATTTTGGATATATTAGTAGATCAGATGAGAGTGATGAACAAATGTCCACCAACTTCAGAGGATCTACTCCCTCTAAAACCTAAACCCTTTACATATACTTGCTTCAACTGGTTGCAATAGTTGGATTTGTGGAGCCAAGACAAAGCCTGCATAACCGCCCGTGTGGATCCAAAGAGATAACGTCCAGATGCTTATCGTGAACATTCTATCCAAAGTTGAGGAACTACCTTCCATTTAATTATATCAATACTTCAACCCCTCTGCTTTGAACTTGTTTAAAAGTGGACGATGAAGTGATCAAAGGCTACCATCATAATAGTTGATGAAATTGAGATTCATGCCTTGTGTACTAAAGAAAGTACTTTCTGAATCATTTGGAGAGGGGAAACGAAATGTTCTTTATAATCGTTATATTCTCATTGATTTTAGTGCCATTGTTGAAACTTGTGGGTCACCCATGGAAGCTTTTACTTGATTCCCTTCACTTTCACTTTTCTCTTTTCTTTCTCGTAGAATATTGGATTACTACTACAAGTTAGGTCCTAGTGGAATGTTGTATATATAACTAATTATAGAACACTATAGTTCATAGGTTGTGAAGTCTTTGTTGGATATGCACATCTGTTCCCAAAGTAGAACAGAATTAATAGAATTAAACTCGAGTATTGTTTGCTTATAAATCCATGACTATTTTCTAAATTAGTCGATATGGGATTTTCAAGGTCTATTATTACGGGCCTCTTATCTTCCTTACAAAACAAAAAAAAAAAAAAAAAAAAAAAAAAAAAAAAAAAAAAAAAAAAAAAAAAAAAAAAAAAAAAAAAAAAAA